GCAACGGGCGGTGGCGTTTCTACTCGCAGTGTAGCCTGCAAGTCCGGTTTGGACTGGGCTGGCGTCAGTAGTCCCTCCTGGCCACTGGCACCGAGGCACGTAAAGAGGATTCGAGCAGTTTCCCGGGCAAACTCCAGTAGGGTTTCCAGCTGAATCACCTTCATGCTACATTCCTAAAAGAAATTCATGGTTACTGACAAGTCATAAGTAGGTGGTTAAAGTGACTGTTTGGTGGATGACATACGTCGACAGACATGTGCTGATGGTGGTCCACGCTGGAGGACTGCAGCAGAGTGCTCTTCTGCGACATGGCGTTGAGGTTTTCCTTGAGGAGGCTGAGCTCACTTCTGATAAGAGTGGAAACAACGTGATCTAGGCTGATAACCTGGAGCCGGACTTGCTCGTCGTAGTTGTCGCTGAAAAGAGGTAGATTGGCATAAATAGCAATTCCTGTGAGGGGAATGATTACGCATCAAATCATCGTTGTACCGTTTTCAGTTCCGAAGATCAATTAAAGGGGCCATAGTAGGCCAAAACATGGTGCTGGTGGTGGTCCTATTATGTTAAAGATTGGAGCCAATCAGCAAAGCAGCCCTTATGATTAGGCTATTTTCCGTACTAAACAGCCAGATCTTATGTCTCAGGGCTTTCCCCAACGCCCTGTCGTACAACGTACCGGTTTTAGTGCTTTGGAGCTGGTGATCAGTGCAAGTCATTCGAGTGAGCTAGCAGTCTTGTCGTTTCTTGCCAAAACTATCACTACAGACTCATCCTCCTGAATATCGGGTTGGAAACGCACAATGCCTTGGCAGGCAAAGTCATTTGTGCTATACACGTAACTCTTTTTCATCAACGCGTTATCCAAAACATCAAGCAATCGAATTAAACGAAATCAACTTGTGTAAGTTATAAACCTTGAAAGATAACTATCGAAAGTGGATGCGGATGAAAGAAGTGAATATGCTAGACTAATGTATAATAATAATAATAAAGTTCCATATCCCTTTGACACAAAAAATAACCAGTTCTAGAGTTCGGTACCAAACCCTTACTAGTGCCGTATTCTGGCATAACCTTTTGTGCTTTTAAAAGGGAACTATTCAAATTTTATTTTTCACCTGAAAGCAAGTCAGTAGAGAGGTCGCTTACAAGTGGTCACTCAAACGACTGCACGTCTGGTAGACGACTTGGCCGTTTTTCTTCCAGAATTTCAGGGACG